TGAAATATTTTTGGCCAGATTATGCTCTTTATTATTGTGCTTCCTTTTCTTCCGACTTGGAATTGTCTAAGGACCAGGATTTTTTTTACATGTTCTTGCTTTAGTATGCAACTTTCGTCTAGTTACCAGCACTTTCAGAATTGCGACGTTTAGTAAATTCTACCTGAACACGGATCATATTATTAAATAAAAAAAATATTTCAATTAAAATATTTTGTAAAGTAATTTGTTTGCCTCTCATAAATATTAATATAATGATAATTTTGATAATTTAATCCTTACTGTTTTACGAACTCCATAAATATAAGCGTAGACAATGTACCAATTTGGTTAAATTTGTAAGCGAAAAAGAATAAATTAGTTGAAAAGAACTTTATATTATTTATAAGTGAAAAGGAATAAACCGGTTAAAAAGAAGTTTATATTATTTGTAAGCGAAAAAGAAATAAACTGGTTAAAAAGAACTTTATATTTATATTAAAAAAATAGTACGTACCTAATAATTATGTATATACGTACGTACGAACATTTGACTCAAATTTATTGAGTCAATTTGTACGTACTGTTACGATTTAAGTGTAGCGGTAAGAGCTGAGTTACTGATCGGGTTGTGGCTTATACGCCACCAACCTGGCACACATTGAAGAATTGCGATTAAATCAGTGAAAAATGATTTTTAACCATCCCTAAAAAATATATTAACTTAGCAATAAATTCTGATCTGCCAATATAACATAAACTAATGATTACGTATCACAAAAAAATAAAAAAATAAAATAAAGGACTTCTTTACCAGCCCAAAAAATTTTGACCGACCAAAAAACAGCCAATACAGCCAAGTTCATATATATATATATATACTTTTGGTTGAAAAGGCCAAACAAATGTGGTTTGTCGATAAATTGCCAACACTATGCCAGTTTGCTGTTTTTAAATGGCTTTAATAATTTGTATTCGATGGACTACTGTGCGTAAAATATAGCACCCCAAAAACCCTGATCTCCAACTACAGTATAATATAAATCTAACCAAAACCCTAAAGTTTAATTTTAAAATTAGTGGTAAACTTCTTCTAAAAATCATAGAATAACAATTAAAACCATGAAACAGTGAATTCCATTCCGATGAATGCTAAATAAATTCAAAAATAAAATAATAATTTATAATTTTGAAAATTATTTTCTTGAAATTAAATTTATCAATAAAAAAAAAAGACAGTATTAATCAAAAATTATAACAGATTGTTACAAATCCTTGAATAGCAAATATTTAATATCCTCTTCCCCAAATGAATTCACAATTTTATATGACCAAGATTCAAAATTACTCATATTTACAGTTTGAATATTAGGATATGGTTTTGATTTCATTTTTTCTGATGTTTCTTTTCATGATTTTGTAATATCCGGATCATCATAAAACCAAATATATTTTGCTCTTATTTTATCTTTAAACTTGGAATTTAAATCATTAAATTCTAATGATTTTTCAAGAAGGGCAAATTCATGATCAGGTCAATTTGAAAACGATATACACCACGTTTACCATCTGTGACTGCATCTGAAAAAACATCACTTTTTTTAAAAGAAGTAGAAGTCAATAAGAAATAATATTATTAATAATAAATTGTAAAATTAAAAATACCTTATGAATGAAATGATTGCATTCTGTAATATCATGACAAAAATAAAACTGCCAACTACACTAATTATAGTAAGTGGCCAAAAATACCAAATATCAAATGAAATTGAAGACCAATCATATACTGCAAGTATAGAATCAAGAAGATTTGAAAATGGATCATATGCTGATGAAGATTTATCTAACCCAATGTAAGAGGAAGAATAAATCCAAATTATATATAAATAAAATTAATGTTTATATTTTAAATACTAAAGTTTAGTAAAAATATCATTGATGAATAACAAACTTACAATGCATGTCCCTAATAATGCGGTATGGTAACTAAAGCAAAATATAAAACATTACATCCAATATCAATAATTGTTAAAATTTTTCATATTATATAACTTAAAAATAATAGTAATTACCATTGCAATAACAACTAGAATAAAAAACAATAAAAATTGTTGTATCGAAATAATAATGTTTAAGAGTATATTAAGATTATGTGCAAACCCTAGATTAAAGTATAATAATTGTAAATGTAAATCTGGATAATCATTTATTAAAGCGAATTATTAGCAATACTTACCTTCAAATATACGTAATAATAAAATCTGACAGAGTACATAAATGAATGGTATGAAATTTAGAAAAAAATAACCTTGTTATTATGAAAAATTGGATAAGTACGTACTTACAAAGAACTAAAATACTTAAGAATATGATAAATATCAAGATTTGACTATTTTCAGCGTTCTTAAATCCTCCATCAAAAGTATAATAACGAATTAAAATATAACTAAGGATAAATATCGGCATAATAAGTGATAGAAGATCTACCTGATTAAAAAGATCTAAATAATATTGCATTTTTTTACGATGAAATTGTTTAACGTTTCGGCAGATCTGCGGAATTGGTCATTTTAATCAGACCCTAAATTAATTATTTTAAGGGTAATAATAATTATAACAAATTGATAAATTATACGGATATCAGTTAATATAACAGAGAATGCATATTTTATTTATGATTAATAAAATGAATACTGTTGTTAAGTAAATTTAGGCAAATTCAGAGCATATAAATAAAGGTCCAATTCTGCCAATCCGCCGAAATGCATAAGACATCAAATCAAAATATGACGGCTTAAAATGAAATAGGAAAAGGCAACAACAAACAAACATTTAACGATATTATAACTGAGTTAATAATTTGAAATTATTTAATGATAATGATTTTTTTTTTATTTACAATGATTAATTCGGAGATCGGAGATTACTATAACCTGTCCCAGATTTTTTATTTGTTGTACGTATGTACGTATGTGATGTAAATAAAACACTAAATTAAGATGCTGGGGAGACTTAAATGTTTCGCGTGAGCTGAACAAAACAGGTTTTCGTAAATCAAAATTTATACATAAAAATCTAATAGATAATTTTTCGTGTAACAATCCCAATGATCTATAGTAATATGTATGCTGTAAATTTTATTAATATTATTTAAATTCTGTTGAGTAATCGAGCAATTTTTTAAGCTAGTTAGTATGTAATTTACAAAGATACAATTTAAAATCGACAATTTTTATGATCGTTTCGTATAAGATTTTTAAACTTCAAACTGTATCTCCTCGGTAAATTAAATATAACAGTTAAAAATTTTCCTTGGTTGCCAGTAGAACTTATATTTTAAGCTAAGAAATTTTTTAATTAAATTATTATGAAATAATCTATCCTGATTTTGTTTATAATTGTATTCAGAATTAAAAAGATATAATATATAATAAAATTATACAAGGAGTACTTTATTTAAGACATGGAAGTTGATTTCATAGACATTATTTTGATCAGAAACTTTTGAGCTTTTTGTATCTGCCGGCGACAAACAAATTCGCCTACATTTTACGTATTAACCATGACCAAATACTTAAATATAGATATTCGTGATTGTTACACTAAAAATTGGTCTAACATCCATATAAAACCATGTATCCGGTGTTAACTTAGTTGAGAGAGAGTCAAGAAAGAATATTTTAGATATGCGATTTATTTATAAGGACGATTTTATAAGATTTCTCCTACTTTACACGGAGTTTTTGGGCCTTCCTTAAATACATGCTATCGGATATACATCGTATTTCATACTAACAGGTCTTGAATGAATACATTTTCATACTAAATGAATTATTATTGGCTATCTAACTTCAAATGGTAACACTGCATATGGTCATTGCTCAAACGCAAAGATTTGTTACACTAAATTACAAATTGGATGCACAAAAAATTTCCAAATTACGTTTATGATAGATCTTCATAATGTTTAGTCAATTCTTTATTATACCTAAGTTATAAGTATCACCCTTTTTTTCCAAAGCATTTTTGGAGATATATATAACTAATATAGGGATTCAATTCAGTATATATATATAGATATAACCTCTATATGAAATTTCGGCAAATTTAGGAGGAGATGCATCAAAAAATTCACTATTTTTGGTCGAAAAGCATCAAATACATAATTTTGTGACACCAAGGGTTCTCCGCTACGCTCTGGACAATTATTTAAACACAATTATAGCTAATGGCACATTTATTAGGCATAAATAAATAAATCCAAGTATTAGTCATCTTTTCTCTTCTGTTAATTTTTCTTTTATATCTGTCTATGTCTTCGCTTTTGTTCTTTTAAAATCATATATAACACGTACGTATATAGTAAACTCATATTAATATGTTATTATAACATAAACGTAAACGTTCGTCAATCTTATTTGTTATGACTGAAGATAGAAAAAATGTGCTTTTTTTTTTGCATTTTTTGCATGACAAAATTCAAAATAATTTCAATTATGGCATAATAAGAATTGGGCACAAAAGTTATTCCATAGTTCCAGTCTGCATTACGTTGGTCATGGCCAAACTACCTTAATACCGGCTGAATTAATGGTTAACACGGTTAAATGGTTATAAAATTTTGATGAATTATCACGAAAATAAACGGAATCATCTGTACAGATGCGCATTAATGTACATACATGAAATTCATTGATCCAACTTTAGATATTACTTTAGTATCAAAGCTAAAAAAAAATTTTTATTATATAAAATGCGCGCACGATTGCGCATTGGTCCATCTCTAGCTATGAAAATTTCTCCATTGGCAATTTTTGTTAACGTTAATGTCATGGTAATTAAGTGGACGTAACACATTTATCTAACTGGAAATTTAATTTTATTTTTTTTTTTTCAGAAATATCTTATACATATTTAATATTGGTATGTACAGTATAATAATGCTACATGATCTTTAACTATTATAAAATAAATAAATATTTTATTTATTTGTTATAATTTTTAAATATATAAGATAAAAAATGGAAAATACTCAAAACTACTTAACCGAAGTAAAATATCAAACAAACATCGACCATTCGTCGATACCGTCGGATCCTCCACCACCGTTTTCCGGATCTGGCTCAACACAAATTCAGTCCTCGCAACCACCGTTAGTGGGATCTGGTCCACCAATTCAGTCCTCACAACAAGTATTCTCCAATCAACTCGTACAACAACAAGTTTCTCCTATTCAGTCTTCAATGCCACAACCTTATTCCTATCAATCCGCACCTCAACAAGTTTTCCCCAATCAATTTCCACAAGGGCAACAACAATACGCTCAGCAGGTTAATCACGCTCAATATTCACAAAAGCAACAACCACAAGTCCCTCAAACCACGTATCAACAGGCAAACACGGGATTTTATCCAACTCAACAACAGACGAGAGGCATTCCAAACCAACAACAGACAAGCGCTTTACCTCAAGAACAAGTCGTTTATGTAGTGCAACCACCACCTCCTCCCGTGATGGTAATGAATCCGAATCAAGGATATCTTAACATTACTTCTCATATACCAGTGAGAGTAACTTGTCCGCATTGCAATAATAGCGTAGTTACGATTGTAACCGAAGATCTTGGATCAACAGCATGGATTATTGCTATAATTTTATGCTTAGTATTTTGGCCACTTGTTTGGATACCTTGTGTTATATCTAGTTTTAAGGATAAAACTCATACTTGTCCAAATTGTAGACTTGTTTTGGGTGTTGTTAAAGCTTAAATTTTATTTTATTTGTTTATTTTTTACAATATGTTGGATTAACGATCTGCATAATTATTTTTGAGTCCTGTAAGTCCGTGAATACAACTTAGATAGCCGCTTTACCCGCTAAGTATGACGAAGTTTAAATGATTCCATTATTGTAATCGCACGACTCATGGGACTCAAAAAAAATTATTGCTATATTACAATGAATCTATTCATAATATATCCCTATAGATAAAATATACCTTGAGATTGACTTTTTTTAAATTTATTTCTAAAAAAAAAATCAATATTTGTTAACTGAATTCCTAATGAGTAATTTGTGTAATTAAAAGCAAATAAAAAATCTGTGACAGGTTATATTTAATTCCGAATTGACTATAGTAAAAAAAAAGGAAAAAACAAAAATAAATCTTATGATCAAATAATTTCAAACTGATTATTAGTTAAGTAATTCGATTTTAAATTTTAAATTGATAAAATAATTTCAATTTAGATTTCAAATCAATTATTTTCAATAAGAATAGCATAATTCAAAGAAGAATTGTCCTCATAAATATCTAATGTATGCATAAAATTGCTTGCTATTCCATAATTTTTAGCATTAAAATGTTATTAATGATTAAGATATTATTTGTAAATTTTTATTCTCGAAATGTAATTGTTCTTCATTAAAAACGCACATATGGTGGTTTGCATCTATTACATTTTTCTAAATTTTTATAAGTTTTTTTTTTAAAAAAATTTTAGCGCAAATTTTTCTTGTTGGGGTTAGTACTTAGTGTTTGAGTTAAGGTTTAGAAAAGGTTTTGAAAAGTAGAGTAGTTTTACTTAGAGCATCGCATAATATTTAGTTAGCCAGTTTCTAAGATAATGCAACATAGGTGGTAAAAACCATAGATGGTTTTAGTAAAAGTGAATATTTAATTTAAGTTTATTGAGATGTGACTAATAAAAGTATCTATATCAGGAAATTTTATATTCATGCTTTACGAATGTTTAATCAAAAAAACATAAATGGATAGTAGCATTTCAAGATATGATTGCGTATCCGCAAATTGAGACTTTATTCAAATTATAGAAAAGCACGTAATACAATATATCAACACTTATTAATGCTTTATTTTTGCCTTTATTTATACTTTTTTTAATATGATTTAGTAATTCTTTTGCCCTTTGTTCTATTTTATATAATTACTTAGCTTTATTCTGGATACAATGATTTTTTAATTTTGTTATACATATTTACTTAATTTTAATTTTAATTTATAAGGTAACACCTTGCTTATATATTTATTGGGTAATTTATATAAGTAATTATATAGAAAAATTATATAAATACTTAATTTTTATACAAATTAACAAATATAAAACTACATGCAAGAATAAATGCGTAGACCAACTTATCTGCAGCTAAACCTACTTGAATATCAAGATTTACCTAAATTTGTATAGTTAAGTCAGGTAAATTACATAGGCAATTATAAGTGAATAATTGTCTTTCTCTCGTATAAAATCGAGGAACATCAGAAAAAATTTTTATTACAGTTTTGCGTAGATTTGCAAAAAATTAAATAACGAAACAAATAAAATTCTGCGCAAAACTTCAAATTTAATACTATAAATGCAGGAATTAAGTATAATCCTGTACAAAACTTCAAACACTAAAAAATTTTGCAGATTTTTCACAAAAAATTCGCAAAAATCTGCAAAAATACAGATATTACACATACTTAATTTTTCTGATGAAGGGGTTGTTGAGAAGATTAAACAAAGAAGTTTAGTTAGTTTTTTCAAGATGAAAAGATAATACAATAATTTTCTATATTTGGTTATATTGATCTAAAATTTCAAGAAGTATTTAAAACATTTCACTTTGTATAGTACTAACTATATTTTTTTATAAATTTAATTAGTCTATTAAAAATTTGTATTTTTTATTAAATTATAAACCAATATTAAGTTTTTTATATTAATTTTTTTTTTGATTCGGATTTGAGAGCTGCCAAGGGAAACCCTGAAATTGCTAGCTTTCCGAAATTCATTTTCAGCCAATAACGATAAGGTTAAATATTGTTTATTTCCTAAAGCGGAGTTTCCGAAAATTAAGAATTCCAGGTTTTCCATTGGCAGCAATGATTTCTTAACAGGTTGATGAAATGATGATCACTGATCAGTAAAGACAATAAAAAATGTTCCTAG